GATGCTGTTCTAAAGAAATCAGAAGTAGAGTAGAGTCATGGCTTCCTTTACAAAAGTTTGGAAAAACAGTGGCATCTTGAAATGTATGAAGGTTCAGCTGGTGAAAAACTTAATTCTTCCATAGCAATTTATGGATGTGACTTGTGGGAAATTAATGCTACTCCATAAGAAGTTTGAAGCCTTTGAGAGGTGATACTGGTGAAGACTCTTGTGTATCTCTGGAATGGAAGAGAAGACGAATGCTTATGTTAAAATATTATGGGATAGAAGCAGACCCCGTTGTCAGAAATCAACAGATGCAAACTTATTTACTTAAGAAGTACTGATAGTGAGTCATCAGTATTTCAGTGATGCTTAAATCTGAGTTAACCATACAGCTGGTTAATAAAATAATTGATCATATGCTACTTTATAATGACTATACCATAAACCTATAGTGTAGCATAATTGTTCATTGTCAATACTAGTTTAATAATTTTTTTTTATTATTAATAGCTGTCTTGTATTGTTGCCTAGAGGCCCTAATCAGGAATTGGGAGCCCAAATGTGCTAGATGCTGAACAAACACATGGTCTCTGCTCCAAAAAACCTCAGTCTAAGTAGATTAGACACTAAAACTAATGATCTTTTTTTACTGTGACTCTAAATCAAATTCATATTTAACCATTCCATTTTTAAGGCATCATGTTTGCAGTGCCTTGGTTTTGGAAGACATTTCATCATCTTGGTTATTCCTTGATAATGAACAAAGGTTTCATTATAATAAACCTCTATAAGATTGAGAAATGGAAGAATAGAATTTCTGACAAAAGTGAAAATGATGTGGAATGAAAAGAGAGTTTGTAAAAGAGTATTGGTTGCTAGAAATTATTCTGAATGTGTCATGATTCCTAATAAACTTTTCCTGAAAGGCATTTAATTCTAAAGTATTGGAAAGTTTACTTATTTTCTTATAATACATTTGTCATGTCTTTGGTATTAAACCAAAAAACTCCTAGTTTTGGCCATTTATACTTGCCAGAAAAAACATTTTGAATAGTTAGCATGCATCTTTGGTAATCTCTTCATCTATCTTTTATGTAGCCTGTGCTGACAAGTGTTCAGATACAGGTTGTGGCCAGTGAAGTTAATACCATCTAGGATTGTCAGTTTGCTGGGTGACCTTAACGGGTCCAGGCATGCACAGAAGGAACACCTTATCAGAGGAGTAGTCAGCATGCTAAAGCCACTTGGAACATTACCAACATAATTTAAGTCTGTTACCTGGAGTTTGAACATAGAAAAGCTATGATTACATGAGAATCTGAACACCACTTACAGCCATAAATCATATCAAAGGCACCTGCTAACCAACAATAGTAATGACTTCTCATATTTTATTGATGTACGGGTCTTGTTGAATGCCAAATAGTTAGGCCTTGTCTATGTTACACCGTTAGGTCTACACAAAGTAGCTTATGTTGACTTAGCTAAATTCATTGAGGATAGATTCATCAATGCTTATTAGCCAGGATTGGCAGGGATGGTATCCCTAGCCTCTGTTTGCCAGAAGCTGGAAATGGGCGACAGGATGGATTACTTGATGATTACCTGTTCTGTTCATTCCCTCTGGGGCACATGGCATTGGCCGCTATCGGAAGACAGGATACTGGACTAAATGGACCTTTGGTCCAACCCAGTATGGCAGTTCTTATGTTCTTGACTGTGGATGCTCTACACTTTTACATTTTGGTCCCTCTGGCATAACTGCCCTGCTACTCTGACTTAATACCACATCCCCAAGCGGCATAGAATCAAGGTCAATTTAGTTAGGTCGACACAGTGTCAGTGTAGACACTGTGTTACTTATGTTGACTGTTACAGACTTCCAGGAGTTGTCCCATAATGCCCTACAATGATTGCTCTGGTCACTGTTGTGAACTCCGCTGCTCAGGGAACATGTAGACAGGGAGCGACCCCTCCCTGTAAAGCCCCATGAATTTTTGAAATTCCTTTTCCTGGGCTCTCAGCTTTGTGAGCAAACTTAGGAGCTCTCAACTGCTATGTGCAACCGCCCAGCTGACCATGCCGGGTACACGCTGCAGATGTGCTCCTGTCTGGAGTACACTGGAGGTGTTGGGTTTGTGGGTGAAGAGGCTTTGAAGGCACAGCTCCGATCCAGCTGTAGAAACATTGATCTCTATGAGCAGATTGCTTGGAGTATGAGGGCTACAACAGGGACCAGCAGCAGTGCTGCATGAAAGCCAAGGAGCTGCAGCAGGTGTACCAGAAGGCCAGGGAGGCCAACAATTGATCTGATGCGGAGCTGCAGATCTGCTGCTTCTACAAAGAGCAGCGGCAGAGACTACTCCCTAAGAGTCCAGTGGATGCTTTGGAGGAGCCGGAGTCACAGGCCCCTGCTGTGAATAGAGAGGACAAGGAGGCGGATGAGGAAGAGGAATAGTAGGGGGGCAAGTGATCAGGGGATCCAGCTGCGCAGCAAGCCAGCACATATTTTTGACTCCACCGCAGTCCAGCAAGTCCCGAGGGTCCAGCATGGGTGAGCCTGATGCAGGAGACGGAACTTCTGGTAAGTATGCAGTTTGCTTTGAAATTATAGGGATGGAACCCCCAAAGTAGAAGAACAAAGTTGTTGGTTTTTGTTTTTTTGTTTTTTTTTGTTTTTTTTTTGCTTGTGCTAGAAGAGCTAGTGAATTGACCAAGAGAGGTAGAGTTGCTATCTGCTTTTTATTCATTTCTAGGCAAGGGGGACCACACGGAGCAGTTTGTTTATGTGCACCAGGATGTCTCGTGAATCCTCCATAGAGAGATGAAACTTTCATGAAGTTATTCTGCAATCCTTTGCCAAAGGCATTTTGGGGAGGGCTGCCTTATTTCTTCTGCCATGGTAGGACACTTTCCTACGCCACTCAGGGATTACTTCAGCAGGCACCATTGCAATACACAAGCCAGCAACATACGGGCCTGGGTGGTATTGGGACATTGTCCTCTTTCTGCCTCTGTTACCCTCAGGAGTGAGATCAGCTAAAATCACCACCACCTGTGGAAAACAATGCCAGTATTCCATTCCATTGCCCTGTACACACACACACACACACACACACACACACACACACACACACACACTTATGCCTGTGAGTTTTTCCCCACTTGTGTTCGTACTCCTGAGGGCCATACTCGCCGTGGCTGGTGCTGTGACTGGTGCCGTGCTGTATCAATCTCAAGGAGAAGTGAGAATGTAGTGCTTACAACTTTCTGGGATCAAGGGGACTGAGTTCAGTATCCTAAGTTTCAATTTCTGGTGTGAATAGACTGATAGTGGTACCTCTGTGTGCTATATCTGCAGCTGATGGTATTGTGGCCTTGAGAGTCTCTTGTGGAACATCTGTGTCAAATGAGGAGAAAGAAAAGGACTCAGGATGACATGTTTCAGGAGATGCTGCAAGTCTGAGTTGCATCAGAGAATGAGACCAGGGCCTGGAGGATGATCCTTGCAGACAGCATGGAGAAGAGAAAGGCCTGGGAGTCCAAGCAGGGAAAGGAGAGTGAGATGCACCAAGACATAATGTGGGTTCTCAGGCAACAAACTGAGATGCTGTAGACTCTGGTAGACCTGTAGGTCGAAGAATCCCATGCTCGCCTTCTTCTGCAACCCAGACACAACTCAATGTGTGGACCTCCCTATCCGCCACGCCTTCTTTCCCCCCACCCCCCCAACATTCCGCGTGGCATCAGTGGCTGCTCCTCTACTCCTACCACTTCATTCTGGGAGACATTAAAGACAATCACAGCTGCACATACGCTGATCGATGAAAGACATGGTTGGCGTATGTGTACCTAAAATGGAAATGGCTGCTCTTTTGCCTTCGCAAGTTGTTTCTCCCTTCATTTTTTAAGTTTTATAACATTCTAAATATATTTATTTGCCTGGTTCATGTTACAGAAGAATACAATTTTATTTTTTGGAACATAATTTATCTTGTAATTCACAATATATGCTAACTGGTGCTGCGCAGGTCTAACACCCAGCAATTTCCTGTTACTTCATTTGATCACAGGATCTATAACCTAATTCTCAGACAATATTAATAGGTGCATTGGCAATGTTATATTCCTGCACACACAGCCCTCACTGAAAGATTCATATTGAGCTGTAAAAGAGCAAGGCAACTACAATACAATGGATGGAGAATGGGAGTGGGGAGGAAATCCCACAAATGATCTTTGTCTAGTAGTAATGCAACTAGCTTTGACCCTTTATTTATAGTTATTTGTAAACAAATACATGCAGCTATATGGTCAATATTACATCATAGGCAACTGAAGAGCAAGTGAGGGCTGGGTAATCAAATTCACAATTTATATTCGCCACTGACCATCTCCAGAAAGGTCAGTAGTGAACCGTTCATGGAGCACATTCTAATCATTAAAGCACAGTAAGCATTTATAAGGTCATACTGTCATTGCCAGAGTGGAGTAAAGGAGCATTAAAACTTTACACCTGTTTTATGCTCCTGGGGGAATTCACTAAGAATGGGAACAATTCCCTAACAATGGGAACAACTAAGCAGGCAGTTGCCAGCAAAAAGGAACGGAGAGGGTGTAGGGTCAGTGGCGCCTGATATACCGGTGCATGAGTATGGCACTCAACAAGGCGCTACTGTAGACCCTCCGGATACTGCTAAGGCAAAAATCTCCACTACTGCGCACGTGGGCACACATGCACCTAGAATGGAATGGCCATATGCAACACCTCTAGAAGAACAACAGTTTTGAAAGGTAGGTAACCTTTTTTTTTTTTTTTTTTTTTTTATGGAACAGGTGAGTAACCATTTTTTCTGGAATGAGGGAATCTCATTTACTACTGAAGTGTCTTTTCAAATGTCTTTATTACCAATTCTGTATATTTCTTTTGTATATGTGAATACACTGAAATGTCTGTTTTTACATTTCCTTAACTCTGCCACCTGGCAGTAATTGTTTTTCTTTAATTTTTTTAGGTATGATGTTGATTCAAAGAGTCCCAACCTATCAAAGCATGTAAGTGGATGGTTAGAATACTCTACTTATTATGGGTTTTTCCTTATAGGGTTTATCTTAGAGTAACTTTTTAATTACATCTTCTAGAATGTTTTATGGCAGCAGACACAAATACAGGGATTGTGTTGTGATTTAGATGTGTGTAACTCTGCTAAAATGGGATTTTTACATGTCCAACACGCAGAATGTACATTAGGAAGGGATATATATTTTTAAAGTTAATATCTGTTTAGATAAATGAAGGACATCATCTCCTTACTGACACTTTTTTGTGTGGCCCAAGAGTTGAGTAATTTACATGCTGGTGCATAGATTTTTTTCTAACTAGAAATCTTTAGCACTTGTAGCATCGTGGAAAGGAAAAGTTCCAGATTATGCAATATTTTAATTCAGATACACTAGAGCACGATAGAGAGGCTGTAATATCTGTTGAGTATAACTATTTTATTAATTGAAGGGAGACTTTGGAGGAAGAATCCCTGGGAATCTGTAGTCTGTTTGGAAGAAGAGGTTCATTGGGAGCATTGGGTGGGGGACTGCAGGGAACCCTACAGCTCATTTTGGGGAGAAAAGGGTAGGTTTGCCTGGGGCTGCAGGGTGGGGAGAATGGTATGGGTCTGACATTTAAGTGATTCAGAAATCCTGGGTTGCAGAGACTGTTTCATTATAATCTATATTCAAGAGAGAGTTAAAAAATCAAGATGCTGCATCTCAAGAATCTCCATGAACTAAAAAGGACAATGATTTAAATGCAGAATATCATTTTTTTTTTAAAAAAAAAAGGCATTTCTGTTTTGCATTTTTAAAAAAATATATGTCCACGTAACCCACACAAATCAAAGCAAATATTTGTAGAATTCAGTAAATCTTTTAAACTACTTGTCAAATCCTTTTTTAAAAAAAAATCAATCACAAGCTCTTTTCAATTGATCTTATAAAATGGCTGGGGAGGTTTCCATATTTTTGGGAAGGTGAGTGGTGTATTTGTTGTGATAAGAGGTTATTCTGGGGAACAATGAATGGGAATGGGAGTAATTTATGGGGCAGAGGATTGGAGTGGGGCTATGGTAGGGTGACAGAAAGGGTGGGTGAGGTCTGTTTATTGGCTGTAGGGGATCTCTCCTTGGGAAAGGCCGGGGGTTCCCTAAGCCCAGGCCACTCACTGAGCTGCCACTGAGCTGCCCAGGGCAGAGGGAATGAGCCAAATTTCATAACTTCCACAAGGTCCTGGATGGATTCAAATATCACTTTCACTCAGAGTGGGTAGGAGGGAGACCCCTTCCCCTTGCAAAGGGCTTTTGTCTCAGCCCTCCCAGCTGCAGGGGCCTTGGTCAGACAAAACCCTCCCTTGGCCTAGGGAGCCAAGGCCTAGGCCTACTCCTACTGCAGCAGGGCCTGCTCCTGCCTCAGTGCAGGACAAAGAGGATTCCCCTCCCCCCAGTCTCTCTCCTGCCAGTGGACTGAAGGGGGGCTCTGGCCTAGAAGGGCCAAGGGTAGCCTGAGGAAAAAGAAGAGGATGGGCTGGTCACAGAAGCCCCTGGGGCGGGGCTGTTCTAGGTGGGGGATGCTCTGGGGAAGGGAAATGAGGAGGGTAGAGAAAAGGTTCAAAAGCTATTCATGTAGAAGACATAATAGAATAGAAATTCATAAATAATTGTGATTAATTAGTACATTTTAGAATTTGGTCAACTGAAATGGAGGCAAAATTAAATTATTCATCATGTGTTAGGTACACAGTTCTAAAACATATGCTTTAAAAGCACTTTAGTTGTTGGATCCTGTTTCCAGGTGCTTATATCTATTATTATAATAAAATTGTCTTTTGTTCGGACATTTGTCAGCCCAAAGTGGATGTGTTTGAAGGAGAAATATTCAGCTGAAGTTGTCTAAAGCTTGAAAAACAAATGTCCATGTTTTGAGAAAATTAATATGCCTCACTGTGCTTGGGTAATTAAAAATGGCTTAGTTGTAAAATTTCAAACTTACAGCCTGATTGATTGAAAATTCATTGAAGTCATTGGAAAATTTCCCATTTATTTCAGTGAGCATTTTAGCAAATCCTAGTACTTAAGTGAGAGAGATTTGATGTGCTTTGAAGAAATAATGCTTAGAAATAACAAAATTATAAGTGATTTTGAAAATCTCATACAGGTTGACAGTATGAGTGAATATTACTGCTTCTTCCAGTTGTTATTGCTATGTGTGCTCCACATGTGCACCCATACACTCTTTGTCAGAGATTTTGTCAGCAGTGTCCATGGGTCTGTGCCTGCATCCTACGCATGCTGCTGATCTTGCATATGAATATGTAGGAAGGGGTGGTCCTGCTGTCACTCCAGTTCCTTCTCAACCGCAGGTGCTTGAGATGGAGTGTTGTGTCTGCGTCCTAGCTACCTATCTTGCTGGGTTTTTTTCTTATTTGTTTTTATTTCTTTAGTATATAGTTAAGTCCCTACCAAATTCACGGCCATGAAAAACGTGTCATGGACCATGAAATCTGGTCTCCCCCTGCCTGCCCCCTGGTGAAATCTGGTCTTTTTTGTTTGCTTTTTACCCTATATTATACAGATTTTAATGGGGGAAACCAGTGTTTCTCAAATTGGGGGTGCTGACCCAAAACGGAGTTGCAGGGGGTGTGCAAGGTAATTTTAGGGGGGGTTGTGATATTGTCACCCTTACTTCTTTGCTGCTGCCTGCAGAGCTGGGTAGCCAGAAAGTGACAGCTGCTGACTGAGGGACCAGCTCTGCAGGCAGCAGCACAGAAGTAAGAGTGGTAATACAAAACCATGCCATCAAGTTGCAGTGGGGGAGGTTTAGATTAGATATTAGGAAAAACTTTTTCACTAAGAGGGTGGTGAAACACTGGAATGCGTTACCTAGGGAGGTGGTAGAATCTCCTTCCTTAGAGGTTTTTAAGGTCAGGCTTGACAAAGCCCTGGCTGGGATGATTTAACTGGGAATTGGTCCTGCTTCGAGCAGGGGGTTGGACTAGATGACTTTCAGGGGTCCCTTCCAACCCTGATATTCTATGATTCTATGATTTACTTCTGCGGGCGGCAGCACAGAAGTAAGGGTAGCAATACCTCAACCCCCTCCTACAATAACCTTGCGACTCCCCCAGCAAACTCCTTTTTGGGTCAGGACCCCTACAATTACAACATGGTGAAATTTCAGATTTTATTTATATAGTGATTTTTATTTTATTTTCCACTTTATAATTTATTTAAGACAACTTTGTTCTTTTGGGGAGTTCCCCTACCCCATTCTTCTTTGCCTGGTCAGATCCTACATTCCAACTTGGCCTTCTCTGTCTGCAGTCTTTCTTAACTCTGGTGACCATCCCGGCTTCGGTAAGAAAAGGCCTTGGGGGACCCTCAAAGTCTTCCAGACTGTCTAAAAGGAAGATACTCCATTCTGTCGAAAGAGAGATCAAGAGAAGGGGAAAGTCACCATTTTGACTTGAGAAAAAAGAGGCATCATGTCATAGCATGGGTACTGCTGAGTTGTCTACATCTTCTGGTATCACAATCCTAGCACTGCCAAAGAAGACTATGTTGCGTCCTGAGAAACCTTCCAAGAAGCAATCTTGAGTGAGTGGCATCAGGGATCTGTATGAGGATTGGAGTACAAAAATTCCTCCAGGACTAAGATCTTGAAGTTGTCATCCTCAGAATAGTCTTCCTCATGAGGCCATGGTAGAGATGCTGGTACTTCCTGATGTGCTGACTACCCAGGAATGCTTTCCAGATTACCTGGACAGCTAGCTCCTTAAGGATTGCTCCTTTCTCAGAGTGCAGTTGGTAACCAATGAGGCCCTATCTTTTTTCCACTCCTTGGGCATCCGACTCAACGTGGAAAAATCTATTCTTATACCTATACAGTCAATAGACTTCATTGGAGCCAGTCTGAACTCCACTACTTCCTGAACATATGTGTCCATGAATAGGTTCACCACAATGCACAGTCTCACTTCCATGATACAACAAAAGCCTGCAAACCATAGCAAGGTTTTGCCTTCAACCCCTGGACCACATGGTAGCTCGTCCTTTTGTAACATCCCTTGCAAGACTACGCTCCCGTTGTCTTCAAGCCTGGCTTAGATCTGTCTACCCGCCCATAAAGCATCATCTGTCTAAGGGGGTATCAATATCTCAATGGGTCCTCAACTCCCACGAAGACCTTTTGGATCCTTCCACTAGTTGTAAGGGTTTCCATTGTTACATCCTACTGATATGCTTGCCATCACTTCCTACCAAACATCAAGGGCCACTCAATGTTACGACTGTGGTGTGGGTGGTCAGGCCCAGTGGCTAGCACAGAAGTCATGCCTAATGGTTGGTGCGGGAGCCAGGGGTGAAGTTGGAGGGTTGGAGGCCCTTCCTCTGCAGCTTGGGGCAGGGTCATTGCTGGTTTGAACTAGAGTAAATGGTGGATTCAGGGGCCAAGCTGGGGCGTCTGAGCTGGAGTCAGGAGCTATCAGAGAAGCAGTAGACTGGAGTAGGACAAGAACAAGGCTGTAAAATAGTATGTAAAATACTTATAAATGTAAAATAGTTATGGGTAAGGACAAAGAACACTATCCCCGATAATGTCACGGCTAACCTGGTGGCTGAACTTTGTGACTTTGTCCTTACCCATAACAATTTTACATTTGGGGACAATGTATACCTTCAGATCAGCGGCACTGCTATGGGTACCCGCATGGCCCCACAGTATGCCAACACTTTTATGGCTGATTTAGAACAACGCTTCCTCAGCTCTCGTCCCCTAACGCCCCTACTCTACTTGCGCTATATTGATGACATCTTCATCATCTGGACCCATGGAAAAGAAGCCTGTCAAGGTTCCTCCCCCACTCTGAACTCTAGGGTACAGATGTGGGGACCTGCATGAAAAACCTCCTAAGCTTATCTTTACCAGCTTAGGTCAAAACTTCCCCAAGGTACAAAATATTACACCCGTTATCCTTGGAATGGCCGCTACCACCACCAAACTAATAC